AAAAAAAAAAAATCCTTGGTCTGATTCACCCACTGGAGCCATGTGGTCATCCCTGAAGCAGTCTCTGCCCAGGAGGGAGAGATGGGTGTACTCGTTGGCCAGGCCTGGTTACCTGGGTTCAGCCTGCATTAGGGGGTGAGGGTCCAAAGGGCCCAGAACTGCAAGGAGGCACCCAAACCATTGACAGAGCAAGGGCCCATGGCCGGGGTTTGAATTGTGCTGCTTCCTGTCTCCAGAAACTCCCCGCCCCATTTTACAATGAGTGCACTGAGGCTCAGAGGGGAAGTGGCCTGTCCAGTGTTGCAGAGGCACTCTGGGTACCTTAGAAAGCCCACAGCAGAACATTAACTGAATCTCTTCTAAAGTTAGAACAGGAAAGGGATGTCTGCCATCACCATGGGTATTTAAGGCTATGTTGGAGGTCTTGGCCAATGCAATAAGGCAAGATAAGAACACAAGAAGCCAATGTAGCAAGACAAGAAAAAGATGTGTAACCACTGGGAAGAAAGAAACACTGTCATCCTTTGTATGTACTTATAAAATCCAAGCCTGTCTTTAATTAATGAACCAGTAAGGCCAGGAAACAAGTCAGCAGGTACCAGGTTGAGAGCACCGTGAGCTTAGCATGTCCCATGGCTGAGCTTATTGTGAGGCCTGATGCACAGTAGGTATTCAGTCAATATAGGCTACAATCTTCCCACCTACTCCTCCCTTCCCACCAGGCTCTTGCCCAACCCCCATTTCCAGCACTCCTGTCCTTGCCTGTAGGACCCTTTGAGGACGCCCTAAAGTTGCATGAGTGCTCAGTGGCAGCGGGCACAACGGCAGTCCCCCTTCCATTGGAGGACCAGTGGCCTAGCCCCCCCACCCGCCGGGCCCCTGTTGCCCCCACGGAGGAACAGCTTCGGCAGGAACCCTGGTATCACGGCCGAATGAGCCGTCGGGCAGCAGAGAGGCTGCTTCGAGCTGATGGGGACTTCCTTGTACGTGACAGCATCACCAACCCTGGGCAGTATGTCCTCACAGGCATGCATGCCGGGCAGCCCAAGCACCTGCTGCTTGTGGACCCTGAGGGCGTGGTAAGGTGGGCACAGGTTGCAGGGTGGGGGATGGGGGAAACCTTAAAGGGTTATGAAGCACTTTTACAGATTCTATTCTCCTTGACCAGCTACTGTAGAATTACAAAGTATTTTCCAGTTTAAAAATAATTTTGGGGTTTACGAAGGATTTCCTCATCTATGAAGCATGTTTTGTTTTTTTTTTTTTGAGACAGAGTCTCACTATGTCGCCCTTGGTAGAGTGCTTATGGCATCACAGCTCACAGCAACCTCAAACTCTTGGGCTTAAGAGATTCTCTTGCCTCAGCCTCCCAAGTATGTGGGACTACAGTTGCCTGCCACAATACCTGGCTATTTTTTTGTTGTAGTTGTCGTTGTTTGGCAGGCCTGGGCTGGGTTCGAACCCCCAAGCCCCCCAGTGTATGTGGCTGGCACCCTAGCCACTGAGTTACAGGCACTGAGCCCTATAAAGCATTTTGAGGTTTATAAAATCTTTTCCAATTTCAAGGCCTCTGGGGATTTACAAAATTCCATATTTCATCCATTGTAAGACACACTTTCTCACATTTATCATCACTAATGCATCTTGCAAAACAGTGCTTGTATTTGAGTGATAAATATGGTGTTTTCAGTTTCTGATGTTTTTAGGGTTTACAAAGCATGTTTCAATTTAAAGGAGTCTTAGGGTCTTCAAATTACTGAATTGCTTCAATTCTAAGACATATGCCTTCCTCTGAAATCTGGATTTCTTTTTAACCATCAATTGCATCTTTGGACTGCATCATTATTTAGTAAAGAGGTTTTTCTCCCTTCTCTCCTCCTGGTACCCACAGTAGTGATACATCTTGGTATTGCTTTGAGCCAATGAAATTTAGTCATCACTAGTATCTGAAGCATTTTCCAATTTAGAAGGAGTTCCAGGGTTTATGAAACATTTTCAAGCATTCAAGGGCCTTAGGCTTCCTGGGTTATTCCCAGGAAAGAAGGTGCTTGCGGGGGGGGGGGGGGGGGGGCAGGGGGCTGGGGGCTGCAGTTTTCTCAGAGTTTACAAAGTGCTTTTCTGCCTGAGAACAACTGGATCTGTAGGACAACTTTCAGGTGCCTGTGTATTGTCTCTGAAGCACACTGGGGCCCTGCCTGGCCTAGGCGACACCATGGGGAGGGGTAGACCCTGGCTCCAGCTGCCTGTTCTCCCCACTGCCACCATCCTCTTCCCTGTTTCAGGTCTCCCTGTTCCCTGCCTAACTTCTGGCCTGGTCTGGATCCCTGGGGTTAGATCAGTGGTTCCTACACCTGGAGAAACTTTAGAACTCCCACTAAAACATTATTAAAATTTAGATTCCCAGGTCCTCTGGGGCCATGGAAACAGAGGATTTTGCCTCAAAGCTCAGAAATGTACATTTTCATATGTTCCCCAAGTGTTACATGCCCAGCGGGTCCAGCACTGTCTATGACATTCTCAGCAGCTGTGGGACACGGTGTCTTTCTGTTTTGTGTCCATTTCTGGCACTCAGAGATACTAAGGTGTTCTTATTCCAAGATGCCAATGGTTTTTGGATTTGGTGATACTGATTTTATATACTCTTGGTATGTATCTCCAAGATTTCAGGCGTGTATTTGTTTCCCACGCTGCCCTACCAAATGACCACAAACTAGGTGGCTTAAAACAGCAGAGATTTGTTCTCCCACATTTCTGGAGATGAGAAGTCCAAATCAGGCCATTGGCAGGGCTGGTTCCTTCTGGAGGCCAAGAGGGAGGATCTGTCCCAGGCCTTTCTCCAGCTCTGGTGGATGACTGCAGTCCTTGCTGTCTTTTGGGTTGTGACTACATTGCTCCAATCTCTGCCTCCATCTTCACATAGCCTTCTTTCTATGTGTCTCCATATTTAAGTTTTTCTCTTCTTATAAAGATACCAGACTTAGGGCCCACTTGGATAATCCAAGATGCTCTCATCATGAGATCCTTAACTTGATTACACCTTCAAAGATATTTATTCTAAATAAGATCACATTCATAGTTTCTAGGGGTTAAGACCTAGAAATATCTTTTTGGAGGACACCATACAACCTGCCAGAGGAAGTATGACTCTGTTCTGGTAGTTTTGGAGCCTATGTCCATCAATGCTTCTGGAATTCTCTGATCTAGTGGCTCTCAGACTTAGGCATCTGTGAGAAGCACCCAGAGAACTTGTTAAAAACACATTTCTGGGCTGGGTGCAGTGGCTCACTCCTGTAATCCTAGCACTCTGGGAGGCTGAGGTGGGATGATCTCTTGAGCTTAGGAGTTTGAGACCAGCCTGAGTGAGAGTAAAAATATAAGAAGATTAGCTGGGCATGGTGGTAGGTGCCTGTAGTCTCAGCTATTCGAGAGGCTGAGGCAGGAGGATCACTTGAGCCCAGGAATTTGAGGTTGCTGTAAGTTAGGCTGAGGCCACAGCACTCTAGCTTAGGCAACAGAGTGAGACTCTGTCTCAAAACAAAACAAAACAAACCATGTCTCTGAGTCAATAGGTCTGGGGCAGGTTTGAGAATTTGCCTCTTGGACAAGCTGGTGATGCTGATGTCTTGGTTGTGTAGGTGAGGACAAAGGACGTGCTGTTCGAGAGCATCAGCCACCTGATTGACTACCACCTGCAGAATGGGCAGCCCATCGTGGCTGCCGAGAGTGAGCTGCACCTGCGTGGCGTGGTCACTCGGGAGCCCTGAGCAAGGTGTGTGGCTGCTGGCATTCAACCATTTTCCAGGTTCTTTCCTCATTTTAAAAACTGAGATACAATTCATGTATCATAAAGTATATTCTTTTAATGTGCATAATTCAGTGGCATTTAGCACTTCACAATATGCAACCACCACCTCTAATTCCAAAATATTCTCATCACCTCAAAATGAACTCCAGTCCCCATCAGCAGTTACTCCTCATCCCAATCCCAGCCCTTGCACCCCCAAATCCACTTCTGTCTCTGTGGAACTGCCTGTTCTGGACATTTCATATAAATGGAGTCTCACACTGTGTGTCCTTCTGTGTCTGCTTCCCTCACTGATCACTGGTCCTTAAGGGCTATCCACATTGTAGCCTATGTCAGAGCCTCCTTCCTTTTGAATTCCTAAGTGATATTCAGCCACATTGTGTTTGTCCATTCATGTGTCGATGGACACAGGTTATGTCCACTTTCTAGCTGTTTTGAACAATGTTGTGTAAATGTGCATGTGCAGATGTTGATATGGATGTGTTCTCACTGCCCTGGGGTGGGCACATACCTAGAGTGAAACTTCTGGGTCCTGGGGTAACTCTGATTAACTGGAGATGAAAATCGCCTGATCTTTATGGATGCTGCTGTATGCTGGGTGGCCAGGTTTCCTTTCCAGAGGAGACATCATTGGTGAACATTGGAGGAGGGGTGGACATCGCTGGTGAGGGCAGGTGGACCTGGGGCAGGCAGGACTGGACTGTGAGCTGAGGCAGAAGAGACGCTTTTGGTGCTGGGGAGGGACAGGCAGGTCTGAATGATTTTAGGATCTCTGTGGGGTTCTGGGGCAAGTTGGAAGTAGGAAGTCCAAGCAGGAGAGGGTGCAGCCATGGGGGAGTTGATGTGGAATCTTCCCAGGGCTGAGCTTCTGGGCAGGTTGGGGATGCTCTTGGGTCCCCAAGGCAACAATCTCCTTCCTGTGTTCCCCACCTAGCTCTTCCTGCCCACAATCAGTCCAGCTGTGGTTCTGTGAGCTATCCAAAATGGTCTGCAACATGGTGGGTCTGTGTATTCTGTGACCTCAGAATAACACAGAAAGCAGTAATGACACCTGCTGTTGGTTCTGAGACAGGTGCTGGGATTAGCATGCTGGCTTTGCAGAAGAGGAGATAGTACAGGGAGGTTGGGGTATTGCCAGGATCAGACAGCAAGAACAGCGAGGCTTGGACTGGGGCCTGACCTCTCTGCCCTGAGTCTGTGCTGCCTGCAGCTGAGGTTTGGAGCTTCTGGAGATTATAGGCCTCTGGTTCTAAGGAGGCTGAAGAGTGGACCCAAGCCCAGGACCCTGGCTGTTGTCTCAGCCCTGACCTCACACCCCTTTCTGCCTGCAGGTGATGGTTCTCATCTGGGCTCCTGCTGCCCCGTGGCCTTACAGCTCTCAGCCTTTCTCTCAGACCCTGCTCAGGCCAGAACTGCCGCTGTCTCTCCTTCCTACACATGAGCCTCTGGAATCTTCCTTCCTCCAGCCAGCCTTGGGCTAGGTAGGGCACCAGGCTGGGAGGTTGGGGGCCTAGGAGCCCTCCACCGGCGGAGTCCAGGATGCCCACTCTCTGCCTGGGTGCACATACCAAAGACAGAGCCTCCTCTCACCACCACAGAGCTCAGGGCAGAGAGCAGCCACCAGGCTGAAGCCCCGGCCTCTGGGCCCCATCTGCCTCAGGCTGGACCCAGTCTACACTTGTGGAGCCTGAGGGTTCCCAGCTCCCTGCTGTGGAAACCAATTCCTATCCCAGCTGGGCTTACTTTTCCCACCTGAGAAACTGGGTGCATGGTGGTCTTTCTGGGGGGAGAATTAAGGTGCTTTGGGGCTGTCAGATCAGGGTATGTGCTGATGCCAGGTCTGGGGTTGGGGGCAGCTTTGGGCTAGCTTGGGACAATGGGGCAGCCAGGCTGCTGAGGACAGCTGACATGGGGGCAATTATGAGCAGGAGGAAGAAGCATGTCGCTGCCCAGTTGGGGCTGTGCCCACGAGTCCCCCATCCTATAGCTGTCAACCTGGACTGGAAATTGAAATGTGTTTGTAATTAAACCTGAGAATGACCACAGGAGCATGAGACCACTTGTATACTTAGAGACCCTCACAGGGCTGGGGGCTGGGATAAGTCTCCCTGGAGGTGCTTGTGGGACCCTGATTTGGCCGCCCTAGGGTCCTGGACATGGAGAGAAGGAGATGGGGCTATGCATGTGCAGGGTATGGGGCCCTCTGCCCAGAACCCCTGCATCTCCTTTAGATACCTCCATTTGGTCCCAAGCTAAAGCACATGTCAAGCTCTCTACTAAAACACACCCTACTCTTATTTTGGAGACACCCTAGTTTATCTCTTGAGTGCACAAACCTCTCTTTTTCCAGAGCTGTATCTGACAAAAGCTTGTTTTTCTTTCCCAAGATGCCTCCAACTGGCCGTCGGAGACTGATCTCCTCAGTCTCTCATGTCTTGTACCATTTCTTTGGACATCTGCTCAACATCCCTACTTCTTTCCTATGCCCACTTCACTTTCAAACACCCTAACTCCTAATCCTTAGAACTGCCCTCATGTTACTTCTGAGCCTCTCTGTCCCCCAGACACCAGTTCTCCCCAGGAACCTCCCCTGACTTCTCCCACAAACATGGCAGCATCTCTCCCAAGAGGTGCCCAAGCCTGCTACATCCTGCTAAGGGCTGAGAGCAGAGGGGTCTGGGTTCTGGATCTGTGGGGAGGCCCTACCCATGCCCTGGGGGACATGTATGGGAAGGGTCTGGGGAGTAAAACTCCTCCCATCTGCCCTTACCTAGGACACAGCCTTCAGAAGGCAAGGCCAGAAGGGTACTTTGATGGCACATCTCATTTCAGTGACATAGAGACTGAGAGCCACAATCCATCCACCCATCTATCATTCATCATTAACCCTCCATCTACCATTACCATTAACCCACCACCCATCCATCCATCCATCTATCCACCTGCCCACCCATCCCTCTGTCTAACTATCAATCATTCTATCCATCCATTTCTCGTCTGTGCACCCACATATCCATCCAACCAACTAACCATTGATCATTCATCCTACTTAATGCTCAACACACCCACCCATCCATCCATCCACCTGACTGACCATCCCTCATTCCATTCCCTAGTCCATCTATCCATTCATCCACTTCATTCCATTCACTAGTCTACCCATCCACCCACCCTGTCACCTGCCCATCCACTCATCTATCCATCCATTCATCTATCCACATGACTAACCATCCATCATTCCATTCCCTGACTGAGCTATCCATCATTACTCTTATCATACATTCATCCATCTCCCACCATCTGTCCATCTACCCTTTACCCCCACAACACCCTTCAACATGCCTACATTGTCCTCTGGTGGGCAACCAAGATGCAATAGTGATCATAACAGATCTGTGCTTGTGGAGTTAACAATCAATTGACTTTAATCAGCAAATCACCACTAGATGTATGACAACTGTGAAAGAGATCCCAGGAAACCCAGGAGAGTTTCTTTGTGGCAATAACATGGGGGCTATAATCAGAGGATGGGCCCCAGTGAAGAGGGGAGAGTTCTGGGTAGAGGAGATGGCATGTGGAAAGGCCCTGTGGTATGTGGTACCAGCACACTCAGGGAGTATAAATGGCCTAAAGTGTGGTCAGGTGAGATCAGAGCAGAGTGAGGGTGAGGCTTGGTGCCACGGAGAGCTGCCAGGGACACAGGGGTAATGTGCATGTATTCACAATGAGACAAGATTTTCCAGTGTGAAGAATGCTGCTGGGGACAGGGTAGGAACAGGGGAGGGGAGAGACGACTCCCTAGACTAGGGAGTGTGGAGAAAGAAGTGTCAGATTCCAGAGAAGTTGGGCTAGAGAGAGGTCTTGTTGCCCTTCATTTGTTCATGGATTCACAGCTCTGGGTCCTCCAGGGCCCAGGCTCTTCCCAATCCCTTGTCCTCTGTGAAGTCCTATTTACTGGCACTCTGCTGGGATCTGTGCTGAGAACCACATGAACTCAGGGTGCACAGAGTCTCTCCATGTTACAGATGAGGGAACAGAAGCTCATATTCAAAGACATCTATTCTAAAAAAAGATCACATTCACAGGTGCTGGGGGTTAAGACCTAGACATCTCTTTTTGGAGGCCATCATACAGTCTGCCACTATCAAGAAAACATCTTGATAGTTTTGAGCCTATGTCCATCCATGCTTCTGGAATTCAGTGATCCATTGGTTCTCAGACTTGGGTATCTGTCAGAAGTACCTGGAAAGCTTATTAAAACACATTTCTGAAAAAAAAGAAAAAGAAACTCCACATTTCTGAGTCAGCAGGTCTGGGGTGGGTTTGAGGATTTGCCTCTTGGGCAAGCTGGTGATGTTGATGTCTTGGTTGTGCAGGTGAGGATGAAGGCCATGATGTTGGAGGCACCTCCACCTTAGGAGGAGCCTAAGATTGGAGCCCGTCATCCTCTCATCCTGCTCCTGGAGCAGGAAAGGCTGGAGTGTCCTGGTGATAATTGGTGCCAGGGAGCAGGGCATGCCTGGCTCCAGCTGGGTCCCTCACACCTGTTTTCTGTACCTTTCTACTTTCCTAACTTTCTTTCATCACTCTGTCAATGATTTCTTCTTGCCTGGGGAGCCTTAGGTGGGAGGCAGGATTTTGGAATTTGCTATGGAACCTGCATGAGTCGCATCCTGTGTACCCCCCTGGATTTGGACAAGAAGGCAGGATACTGAGGTTAGGGCACTGGTACCCACCCTGCTACAGACCTGGATGTGAGTGACATATTTGAGTTCCCCCAGAAATCAGCCACTTCCTGTGCCTCAGTTTCCTCTAGCACCCTTCCATTGGTTAACCTGTGATGAAAGACCAGCCTGGGTTCCTCTGGGAGCTTGCTGACAGGCCTGCGCTTCGGATGGTTCTGACTTTCCCTCCTTTTCAGGGCTCCCAGATTAAGGCATATGCCCCAGGCTGCTCAGGCACTCAGT